CACGCACACGTGCCCGGCGTGGGTTTTAAGCCACCGGGTCTGGGATGCGAACCGCGGTCGACTACGTGGGAGTCTAGCGACATAGCCATTATGCCAATTGCTGGTCCTTTTACTTGTGATTTTTAAGCTGCTGGGCCTGGCACTCAAACTGCAGTCAATCATGTGGAAATTCAGCACCATAGCCGCCATGCCATCTGCGGGCCCCATGTTATTTGACCCACATTAAAATCAATACTGAACTTGGGGCTGGCAGGTGGCACAGTGGTAAGCGTGATGGACTTCAACATGGCTGATCGTGGTTCAAGTTCTGGACCTGGCAGCTTGCTTTCTCACTTTCCCTTTCTCTCTCTCTCTGGTCAAATTAAAAATAATAACAAATAAAAATAAATAATATAAATCAATATAGAACTTTTAAAGAAATTAATATACAACTATTAAAAAATGTTGGTCTCAGGACCAGCAGATTGTGTAATGGCTGCGTCGCTGAACTCCCATGTAGTTGACCGTGGTTCGAGTCCTGGACCCTGTGGCTTAAACTCACACCGGGTGCATGTGCATGCACGCCCAAGATCCTGAGAGGAGAATGGAGGAGAAGGGATTGTGAAATTGCCATCCCCCCAAGTGGTGATTTCTTGCTTTGTGTCTTTCTTTGTCTCTCTGTCTTTCTGGCAAGCACATGCATCCTATAGCAAAAACCTCTCCAAAAAAAAAAGTTTCCCTCTTTGCTATGGGTTGCAATAAGTCCACTTCCACATCATCTTTGATTTGGTTCCTCCCTGGTTTCTGGGACAGCTGCAAGAGAGTTAGGAATTCTACCTTTCAGGGCCATGATTTGCAGCAGAGAAGCGATGCTGGAACTTGAGAGACACAGGAGGTGGGATGGGGGTGGGGGGTAGAAGGGAGGCGCTGGGGGAGGAGTAGAGTTTAAGGAGTTAAGCATGAAAAAGCATAATTACCTGGTGTGTTTAGAAAACTAATTTTCCATAATAGTTCAGGTATTTAGGGTAAATTGGGGATTGTTGAAGGTAAAACAAAAACAGTACCAGATTTTCTTTTGAAATTTGATTTATCACAGAATAGGGCACAATTTTTTTAAAAAAATAATTTTTTCTGCTTCTCTACCACCTGAAAGGTCTTGGACAATTGTGCCTGATCTATAGGAAGGACGGTTTATTTGTGTATAGAACAAATTGCCTGCAAGTCTCTGTCACCTTTTGTGGACAGCCCCTAGAGGTGTTGGTGGCGGCTATGTGTATTCAGGTGACTCAGGGTGCAGGGGACGTTGGCCTGGGAGGTGGAGAACACAGGACAAAAGTCATGAACAGGACCAGGGCACCCCTTATAGGAAGCCAGGCAGATGTACTGGCATGTTCACAAGCATTTTCACAAATATGCTTGTCATGTTATACTTAGGAAAACTTTTTAGTGAGACTTTTTTTTTTTTTCTAACACATCTGCCATTCCTGATCTCTCTTCTACCTCATTTCTTTTTTTGAAAGAAGCTAAGATTACTATTTTTTTAAAGTTCTTTTTTTTATTTGTGATAGAGAATGTATGTGTATGCTTGAGAGAGAGAAACACTGTCAACAGGGTCTCTTCACTCTGTGATCCCCCTTCCCTAGCTTTCTAGCTCACCAGGATCTTGGTCACATGCATTTATACCTGGCATGTTTCCAGACCGACCTGGAATCCAGACCTGTAGTTGGCCATGTGGCTTCCAGCACTGTAGTTCAGTCTGCTATTGACTGTGCCATGCCACCAAGCTAGGCTCCTAATTTCTTAAGAGTGCCCTTGGGCATTTTTATGATAAGGGTAATCTGCAGCCATAAAGATAAGACAGTCTAGAAACACTTTTTTTTTTTTTTAAAGAGTGCTGTGTTGTGAATAGATCACATCATCTTCTCTTCTGTGGGGAATCACCCAAAGGATTTTCAGTTGCAAGATTGGAACACTTTCTCCTAGATGATGTGCAGCTTGGAGGTTCATTTACAGAACTGTTGATAATGCCTAGAGCTTGGTGGCAGCACTGTGGTTCAAGTGCCTTTTTTGGGTGCTGGTTTATTGGTTTTGTTCTTTTATTTTCATTAAGCTGACAGCTAAATCAGAACTGATCTATCAGTTCGTGGACTCTTTAAGACAAGCTGTGGAGAGCTACAAGCAGCGGATGGACTGGCTCACCAGCAAAAGCCGGCAGATTTTTGGTGTCATCTTGGAACAGTGCGTCACCATAGTGCTGGATTTGGGTGGTGTTCTGGACAAGGAACTTGATCTGTGTCGAGACGCTCTAGTAATGGTCCTCCAGGAGCAGGTGGCTCATATAACCAAGTTCAATATTATATGGTGAGTTCTCACAGGAAGGGGGTATTTCAGTGAAACTTCATAGTGATTTGTACATATTTGGGGAAGTAGCATAGCTAACTTAGTTAGGTCTATGGTGAGGGATGAGGTGTTATTTTGTAATCTCTTAGAATATACAAGTAGAAAACTCTCAATTAATGGTCTTTGCTTTGCTTTGCTGAGGACATCTTAGTTTTCACATTAAAAAAATTTAGAAATCTCAAGGCATGGGAAGGTCCAAATAATAGAATATGAGTTATCTTAAATATATATTTAAGGCCATAAATATCTTCACTCATTTTAGATTTTGACTTGGGTCATGAACTCTGAGGTCACAGATTTTACTGTTTTCCCCGTCTGA